TACTAATGCTTAGGTTGGCTACTATTTCATAATTATCACTATTACTCACTGAAGTACTGAATATGATGCTTTAACCAGAGAAATTTTGGTTTTAGAATATTTTTAATAACTTTAACTTGATCCTAATATGGCTGATAAAATAGAAGCTATCTGTAGAACCATAATGTCTAACATCATAAAATAATAAAAAATCAAACAAGTCTCTTTTTGGTAATTATTATAATAAAAGTAACTTTTCTTAAATCAGACTATATGATGACGTACATGCAGCTGAACTTACTTTTCCATTGGCTTCAAAAAGAAATTTTTGAAAATAGCTTTTTCAAAAAAATCTTTAAATATTAGTTAAATTTGTTGGTAAATTTTTATCAATATCCAGTACATACATCTTCAAATACATTTTAATGTAAATTATTGAGAACTTCTACTTTTGCCAAAATATTTTAATTTTATGTTTTATATAGCATCTTTGTCATTTAAAATGTTGTATTATGATTCACTTCTGTGCAATCACCTCTAACCCAAATTTATTACAGTTTCTTACACTCCTATGAGTTTTAGAGCTGCACTGAGGACTTCTGCGTGGGATTTCTTATGCAGTTACCATGAGATAGTGGCTGGCATCATATGAAGATACTACTGAGCTGGATAGTTTTCCTACAATGCAGCTGTTGGAAGCTAAAGCTGCTCAGTTTTCTGAAGCACCTATATATGCCCTTTCTGTGTTTTTTGCTTTTTCACAGTAGAGTTTCCAGAAGGAGTTCCTGGAGGAGTGAAGAAAACTACTTCTGCCAGACAGAAATGGAACACCTTAGCTGTGAGTCAGGAAATTATCACATGGTCTCTTCTGTATTCTGTTGGTCAAAGCAGTAATTGAGTCTGCCAGTATTCATGGGGAGGGAGCATAAATTCCATTTTGCTTGGAAGCATCTTAGATAATTTGTGGTCATCATTTATCCAACATACAGGTCTTCTGAGTATCAATGTGAATCTGGTATTTTCTAAAATGTTATATGTGCAGACTACAATGATGGAAACAACCTTACTAAGAAGGTTAACTCAACACTGGGGTCCCAAGAGTATAGAAGCCTTAGATTAATGATCATTAATCTTTCTCATGATTATCCTAGTTTATTTTAATCCATGCTACTATGTCCTTTTCAAGTCAATTTAAACTAATTTTCTAGGTCATATTTCATGATACATTTTAGCGGGCATTTGACTGATGTCAAAGTTCAGAGCATTCACCGTATTTCCTCTTCTCTACATGATAAGAAATGCTTTTAAGGGAAATATAGCAATTTAGTTTTAATTTAAAAAATTGAATGTGTTCATTCCAATTCTTTCCATTGTTGATTCTGCAAGATATTTTATATCCATCACTAACTATTCAGTACTGTGGTTCTATTTTTCTCACAGTGGAAATTTCATTGGATTTATCCTTATTTGAAAAAAAAATAAGGTAGAAGTTTTAATTCAGTTCCCACATTTAGAAAAAAAATACTGTATTTATATATTATATGTAGAATAATCTTACCATCATTTGCCAAAATTATCAGATCCTAAAGAATTTAACTTCCAATTACAACTAAAAGTATATTTCTTAAGATGAGTGGAAATTTTAAAATAATTGTCTTTTTATTTTCTTTTAAATATTTTTAGATCTACCATCACTGTAGAGACGTGAGATTGCAAAGCTTTGCAAAATGTTTGAGCATCCATATCACTTTCAATTTATAACAACTGTTATAAATTTGTTCTGAGACCTAGGTTTTACAAAGACCAGCGCTAACAATGAACATTCCTCCAAGGAAAAGATAAAAGAACAGAGGGTCTAGAAAACTAACTTCAGAGGGAAGAGCCATTTAGAATTGTGTGCCCAATATAGAACAGAAAAGCTTTACATGAGAAGGAATTTTTGTCTTTGCATGGTTTTAAGTCTCCTCTAATTTTTCTGTATAATTTCTTAAAATTAAATAATGTATGCATGAATAAATATTTCAGGAAATCCAAATTTTTACTTAAAACGTAGGACCTAACTTCTAATCTAGTTTCAGAATGTGGTTGAGCCATTTGGGAATTAGAAGAGCAATTAATGCCGATATTAATGCAGTCTCTGTGCTGTTCCTGGTGCACTCCCAAGCATCCTTCCACTATAGCACCCTAAAAGCATTTGCTGTCCTCTCTATACAAGCCCGTTTTCCTATTTGTCCTACTGACAATCTCATTGTATCATCTCTTGTAATTTCTAACTTTCCCACCTTGTTATTCTCTAGACTTTCATATTTTCTTCATAGTTGCTCCTGCTATCTGGCCTAATATTTGTGCACTGGTTTATTGTCTTTCCCCTCACTAACCTCTAAGTCCCCTAAGTGCAGACTTTATTTTTCCTGCTATTTCCTCTATATCTAGAATATTGTCAAGCCTAGAAAGTTGGTAGTTTACATAAATATGTTGAATTACTTTTCAAGTGGGTCAGAAAAGTTCTAGAAATAGTAAATGACCACCTAAGATGGCACATCTCCTAAAATGACCTCTGCAATCTGTTATTATCGAAATGATATAATTGAATGAATGCATCTGAACTACAAAATATTAAGCTTAATATAATTGTTCTAAAGAAAGGTTGGGAAGACTTGTCAGCCAAAACTGAAGGACTTCAGAAATTTACTCTTCCAAAACTTTGGTGGATCCCAATCTTTTCTTCTATTTTTGTACTTAAATCTTTATTATTGAACACTGCTTCTTCTTACCTCGTAGTATTACAGCTCTCAATATCTTTATTTTTTCTCCTTTAGCTTTGGTTTAGGTATTAATGACACTATGTTTTTTCATGTTTCCTAGGCTTAAATAGTCAAAACTTTTGGTGTCAAAATTCCTTTTTTCAGCCATTGATTGGACTGTCCACTTTTTCCCCATGTGCCTCTTACTACTTTCCTCTTTTACCTAAGTTTGCACAGGTCCGTGTCATTCCACTTGAATCTCTAAAGTAACAACTTAAATGAACAACTTGCAATCATCTGCAATTTTCAAAACACTTATGGAAAAGATATGTGTAGCCAGCTTTCTCCCAATTTTCTCTACTCTTTATTTTCATTACAGTTGCTATGTAACTGTAGTCCCCATGCCTACAGGGAAGGAGTTCATTTCAGTTTCTTTCATGGTGTTTGGCTAAGTGACAATTTGGCTTTGCCCAGTAGAATGAGACAGACATGACTGCACGCGTGTTCCAACTTTATCCTTTAACAGCCTTCACATTTTCCCATTAGTCATTCTGTGCTTGAACTGAGTCCGCGAGAAGCTCCTGCACTAGCTCAGTGACTTCAGAAGAGCGGTGCGTGACTCCAGACACTGAGCAAAGCCATTCCAAACGCACTGTGCATGGATCACCAGCGGCATCTAGAAACTTTTGGCAAAATCAGAGAATGCATAAAAACAGTGGAAGAAAAAAATCCAAATGTAACATTAGAAAACAGTAACAAATATGGTAGATATTAATCCTACTTTGCAAAACTCACTTTAAAAATGAATGGTTTAAATAAACCCATTATAGGAACTATCAAAAGTAGATTAGAAAAACAAAACTTAACTATATATTTCTGTAGGAAACATACTTTAAATGCTGTATAAGAACACATGTATACTAAATGTGAAAGAATAGAAAAAGATATGCCCTGTATACTATCTCTGTGAAAAATTAAAGCACTGTGTGCCTGAAATGCTCCCTTTGTATTCTCAAGACTCTGACCACTTCAAAGGGCCATCATGGTGGGCAGAAACTGGACTGTCTGGATAAGTGTTATGCAAAGGACACGGGGAACCAGGGCAAACTACTGTTACCTGTAGAAATGCATTTCTATCCCTAGGCTGTCTGTCATGGAACGCTGGTCATACAATGAAACAGAGGAAGCTAATGATATCACTATATTACGTAGTTGAATCCATAAAATTCTCCCCCTGTGATAATCAGGCACAGAACTAAACTCTGTGGAAATGATGCATTGTCCACTCCACCCGGCTGCCACCTGACGACACACTTTTCTGGAAACACCTGTCCAGCCCATCGCTACTGACCCTCTGAAGTGCTGCTGTTGTTAACTGTTTTCCCTGTAGATTTACTAAGTGACACTGCTGCAGAGTACTCATCTCTTATAGATTTTGCTGAACCATGTTATTGAGCATGTCCCCCACCCAAGGGCATGACAAGTACTACTGTTGGAGCCACCCCTATATGTTTCCCATGGACCTTACCTGTTAGTATCAATTAATCCTATCCTCCCCTGTTAGTACTTGTTAATAAGTTTTAATAGAACTTATCTTTCACAAATTATCCCTGGGATTTTTTTTTTTATGTCAGAAACTTGCTTCACTTCCACAGCATAGCTGTGCTGTGGGTCAGGCACCATAATAACATTAAACAAAGAAGTTGGAATGGATATATGAATATTAGATAAAGCAGAGGCATTAGGGTTCTCCAGTAAAGCAGAATATGCACAAATGCTACATTATAAGAGAGCGCACCACACAACTGCTGAGCCTGAAATTTCCATGGATCTTCATCTGCAGACTGAAAACCAGAAGAGCTGGTACTGCTGCTGCAGTCTAAGTTCTGGCAGGCTCAGGCCTGAAGAACTGATGTTTCAGTATGAATCCAAATGCAGAAAAAAAATGTTTGTACCGGCTCTTAGTCTGTCAGGCTAAAGGAATTACCTAATTACTCTTTTTGCTCCCCTCAGTCCTCCAACTCTTAATGAAGGCCATCTTAGTTAAGGATCTGCTTTATTTAGTGTGCTGATCCAAATGTTAATCTCACCCAGCAATGCTGCACAAAGTCATAATAATGTTTGATCAAACATCTGGTTACTCTATAGCACACTCAAGCTAACACCTGATGTTAACCATTGAAGCTGACTTTGGGGTAAGGGAAATTATCAAGGATAAAGACAGACACTATGCAACTGCCAAAAGAAAGTATCTAAATATGTGAGGCAGAAACTGATCGGTTTGCAAAAATAAATAAGTGAATCCATTACTGCAGATACAGACTTCAAACCATGCTGTAGGCAGCTGACAGATCCAGCCAGTGGCCACAAGGTAAGGATAGGCTTTAACAGTATCACCAATCACTAGATCTAATCTATCAAGAAAGTATGACTCCCTCAACATTAATAGAGTACATGTTCTTCTGAAGCTCACATGCCTACATTGTGAGCCAGAAAACACATCTTAATATACTTAAATGAGAAGAAATCTTATAAAATATGCTCTCAAGTATAATGTAATTAAGCTACAAGTCAATAACACATAGATTGAAAATCCAAAGCTACTGAAAGGAAAAAAAAAAAAAAAACCTCATATTTAATTAATCAGTCAAAGCATGTCTCAGTACTAATTTGAAAATATTTTTTGTACAGGAAAATAAAATATACATAACATTTAAATTTGTATGAAGCAATGAAAGCTCAGTGGGAAATTTACAGTATTGAATGTGTACATTAAAAATGAGAACAATTTTAAAATCCTTCAATATTCTTCTTAGGAAATTAGAAAAAGAAAAAAAGCAAAAGTAAAAAATGGAATTAGAGCAAAAATTAATCAAATTAGAACTAGGGAATGACTAAGAAAAGACAAGAAATTTGATTAACCTCTGGTGAGGCCAACTAAGATAAAAAGGTACTACATAAATTACTAATATCAGATCCAAGAAAGGATATCACTACTGACACCATAGACATCAAAAAGTTCAAAGAATATTATGAGAAATTTTACACACATAAATTTGATAACCTGGATGAAATAAACTAATTGTGTGAAACACAATTTACAAAAAGTAATAAAAGAAAGTACAAAGAATCTGAAAAATCCATTGTCTCCTAGAACTTGAATTGATTATTAACAGAGACCAGCAGGCCTGGATAGGCTCACTGGTAAATTCTACAAACAATTAAGAAATCACACCAATTCACTAAACACCCAATTATAAAATAAAAACAGAAGGAAAACTCTAACACATTTTGTAAGGTCAGAATTCTTCTAATACTAAAATTAGACAATGACTTTACAAGTTAAGAAATTTAAAGACCAAGTTTTTCATGAACATAAATGCAAAAACTTTACATAATACTAGCAAGTTGACCAAAACAATGTATTAAAAGAATTATATGCCACAACCAACTGGAATTTATTTCAAGTATGTAAAGCAGATTCATCACTATTGTAATCAATCATATCAACAGGTTAAACAGAAAAATATATAAGCATTTTAGTATATGTGAAAAATTTTGCAAGATTTAATAGCCATTTATGAAATAAAGAACAACAGCAACAAGAACACAAACTCTCAGCAAGTTAGAACTAAAGATCTTTCTCAAAATACTCTGCAGCTAATGTCATGTTTAATGGTAAAGAGATACTTTCTTAAAATGATTGAGAAAAAGGCAAGAATATCCATTGTCATTATTGCAAATCAGTAAGACAAGAATGGAAGGTATATACATTGAGAAAACAGTCTTTGTTCATAGGTTACACAATTTTCTATGTAGCCAAACAATCAAGGATAGTCAATGATAACCAAAACTCTTGACACAAAAATCAAGTACAATGTTTGCAGAATATAAAGTGAATAAAGAAAAGTTGATTTATTTCTTACACTCAAGAAATTTATTTCTTACAAAATTTGTATCTTGAAATTAAAAGCACTATATATTTTATAGTAATAAAAATAAAAGCAAGTAGATG